AGGAAAAGACTGGGATCCCACAGTCCTTTTCAAGAGCATACCCCCAGTGACCTGAATACCTCCCACCAGGATCCACCTCCTAATGGTTCCATCATTTCCCAGTAGCACTATGCTGAGGGACCAAGCCATCAACACATGGTCCTTCAGAGATATTCCAGATCCAAACTATAGCAACAGCCTACTGGGACAAACAGCCATGTAAGTCAGACATGATTAAAATACACCTGTGAAAGAGTTGTCCATATTCACTGTGTCTAATCTTTCTATTCTCATTCTCTCTTTTATTAGGGGCGGGGTGGGTACCAGGGATTGAACTCAGGGGCACTTGACCACTGAACCACATCCCCAGCCCTATTTTGAAGCTGGCTTTGAATTCGTGATCCCCCTGCCTCAACCTGCCTAGCTGCTGGGATTATAGGCGAGTGCTACTGCATCCAGCCCATTCTCTCTTGAATATATTCCAGTTAGGCTTTTGCCCCACACCACTCAATAGAAAATTCTCTTCTTATGATAACCAGTATAACCTTCATGTCTCTAAATCCAACAACCAATTCCCAGTCCTCATCTTATCTGGCCATCAACTGCTGACCACTCCCTCCTTCTTGATACATTGCCTTCACTTAGCTTCCTGGACACCACACTTTCCTGGTTTTCTTTCTACCTTACTGCTCTTTCTCAGTCTTCTTTGCTAGTTTTCCTCTTCCTCTGACATCTAAATGTTGGCGTATACTTGGGCTGAGGCCCTACTCTGTCTCTTGGCTTTAAACACCATATGTGTGATTTTTTTTTTCTTTTGGTACTGGGGATTGAACCCAGGGATTCTCCATTGAGCCACATCCCCAGTGCTTTTTATTTATTTTTATTTTTTTAGAATTTTGAGACAGGGTCTTGCTAAGTTGCTCAGAGCCTTGCTAAATTGCTGAGACTGGCTTTGAACTCAGGGTCCTCCTGCCTCAGCCTCCTGGGATTACAGGCATGTGCTGCCATGCCCAGTGCTAAGATTCACTTTTATTTTTATTTATTTTTTTTAAATCTATTTTTAAATTTTAGGTGGACATAATATCTTTATTTTTATGTGGTACTGAGGATCAAACCCAGGTTCTCATACATTCTAGGTAAGCACTCTACCACTGAGCCACAACCACAGCCCCTAGGATTCACTTTTAAAGGCTTCTATACACATTGAGTTTTATTCAAAACTTTTCTCCAGAGTCATGTCAGTTTGTAAACATCAAAGCCACAATAACCTACTTTGATGGTTGAAATGTTTTGCTTCAGGAGTAAAGAATATGTTTTTTTGAAAAATGCTTACATTAAATAATACAATTATTATTTTTAATTTCTTTTGGTGGTGGTGTTGGGGATTGAACCCAGGGCCTCGTGCATGCGAGGCAAGCAGTCTACCAACTGAGCTAAATTCCCAGCCCCAATTATTATTTTTAAAAAGAATATTCTGCTGTCATGTATACCTAAATAGAACAGATAAGAAAAAAAGAACTTTAAGAAGTAGAAATAAAGTCAGGCACAGTAGTGTATACCTGTAGCCCCAGCTATTTGGGAGGCTGAAGCAAAAGGATCACTTGAATACAGGAGTATGAGGTGAGCCTGGGCAATATAGCAAGACCCTATTCTGAGGGGGATGTGGGGAGAGGCAGGCAGGCAGAGATAGACAAAAGAAAGGAAAAACAAAATTAAGAGTCTGCTAGCTCGAGCAAAGAGGAGGTCAGAGCCTTTCAATTTGTCATTTGGAAGTGATCTTTATCTTCTGTAGATGTGCAAGATTCAACATGAAGACAAAGCTGTCTACTTTCAAAACCATCTGAGATGTATATATGTGGAAGGCAGTTGTGATAGGCTTGAATCTCTTGGCAAATCCCCAATAATCAAACAAAAAAAGCCAATTGAATTGGAGCAAACAGACCCTTCTATCCTGTGAGCCACATGACCCATATTTCTCTTGGCATAGCCATGACCCAACTAGATGTCATTCTACTGCTGGAAAGTCCCTAGTCTGCAGTGGGGATATTCACACAAGTGGCTTTAGGCTGCTGCCCTTCCAGCACAGCATGCTTACAAGATTATTTCCAGTCCTTCCAGAGTGAATGTCTTCCATTTCAGCAGCAGGCCAGAGTGATGATTAGCTGATCACTAAGCCTGCCATCACCATGGGGGGAGTGGGCAAATGACGGCAGGTTAGTATTCTGCTTGGGCAGAGAAAAGAAACAGTAGGTTCCTGTGTGGCCACTGGGGTAGAGGTTGGGGAAGTCTAAAGGGCCCACCCAGGCCTGCTCGGAGAAAGCAAGTTAGATGCAGATGAACAGAACATGCTGCAGCTGAGGCCCAGGATGAGGCAGCCCCATGCAGAACAGCCATGGCCAACTTTTAGAAGATCCAACTTTGAGAGTGTCATCTTGACTGAGGGCGAGAATGTGTAGGACCAGCAAAGAAAAAGATTTGGAAGATGACAGTTTTTAGAAGGCTGGGAATATCCAGATATACTCAGGACTTGTTTATGGTGGCCTCTCAGTAAATGCCTATTAAACTAACCAAACAAAAGAAAACGAATTCTCTTACCATCCCTGCTCATCATTAGCTATAGAAACTGAGGTTTTATGATCTTGGCTCGTGTGTGGGTTTAGAGTAAACACAGGAAATAAACACACCTGGACTGGCTTTTATAGTTCAAATCAGGCCTTCCATGCCATGCATAGATTCTGAAGAGATGCTGCAAGCTCATAAAAATACCATTGATTATGTGCCTGGCTCTGGATCTGCAATAACCAAATTCAATCTTTTCTGTATGTATATGAGGTAGGCACACTTCTCACTCCCATGTTTTACAAATGAGAAAGATTAGGCTAAGAGAAATTGTGTGGCTCACCTGCAAGAGTAAGGGGCAGGCTGGGATCCAGAGTCCACACTGTGACCCATTGAGCTTGTGTGTCCATTAGAGCCTTATTGTGAACACAGACACTAAAAACAAATAATTGGCAGCTATGTGGAAAAAAGGACATGAAATTGGTGCTTCATTTCCAAAGCTGGCTGGAAGCCAGTGCAAAAGTCAGCAAACTTCAGTCTCCCTATCCTCCTCAGAGCAGGGGCTTTCTATGCATGCTCATGGCTAGAAGCGGGGCTTAGCTGGTTGACAACAGGCATTTTTTTGGACCCTTTTTCTTTTGGGGGGGGGGGGCTACCAGGGATTAAACTCAGAGGCATTCAACCACTGAGCCACATTCCCAGCCCTATTTTATATTTTATTTAGAGACAGGGTCTCACCGAGTTGCTTAGCACTTCACTATTGCTGAGGCTGGCTTTGAACTCATGATTCTCCTGTCTCAGCTTTCTGAGCCACTGGGATTACAGGCATGCACCACTGCACCCAGCTGGACCCTTTCTTTCACTTTCCCCTACCACTGTCTTCACTTCCACTCTGGGTGGAGGGAGGTGGGCCGAAGCTCCTATCTTAGCTGCTGTTACTGTTTAGGTAGAGCACGAGGAAGCCTGCCTAGCACAGGTGGTCATTTTGACTTCCAGGCCTTTATCCCTTCAAAGTAGTAAGTCAGCTAGGACCAGGGAAAAAGGGCAGAATGATTTTATATTTAGTGGAATTAGGAAGGCTCCTCCTTACTCCCTCCTTGCCAGCTCCCTAGGGACAGTCTTGTTTCCATGATCAACAACTACCATCCCTGAAGTATTTAGGGCACTGTATACCTTTTGGAAAAACAAAGGGGGAGAGTTTTCCTTTTCCTTCACTTTAACAATGAGGTTTAAAAAAGCTACCTTGCCTAAGGAATATCCAGGTATCCACCTGGATTGGAAAAGCATCCTTTTTCTACAATAGCGAAGGCAGTGCCACTCACTTAGGCAGAAGTTAGTCCTCAAAGGGAACAGACCTCAAAGCAAGATGACAGCGAGGGATTAATTGAAAATGCAACAAAGGTAAGGTTCCCATCGTCTCTCACTACCCTTAGAGATCAGCCCTCAGCAGTGTTTCTACTTCCACACAGGTAAGTCGGCTCTGTTAGGAAAACAGAGGTCTGATCCTACTGAGAATAGGTACTATGCCAACCAAGAGAGGTTGCAGGAGGCAGAAACCCTGAAAATCTGTTAACATGTCTTACCAAGGGTGATGATAACAATTTTCTCTCTTCTCTTGGGGCTTTGTCCTTGCTCCCCCAATGGCTCAGAGAGCCAGTGGGGCTCTCTTCCCAACCCTTCAGAACAACCATGGTCAGTTTATGACTGGCCAAAGGGTCTGTGGCTGTTGAATGATCTATGCCTGTGGCTCATTGTTCCTCATTATGATCTGATCTGATGGCTTCAAGTCAAAGCTGCCAATTTGGCCAGCATTCTGTTGCCAGGCTGCCAGGGACTAAAGCAAGCCCTAGGACAGCCCCATTTTCCTAAGATTTTTTTTCTTTCACTTGAGTTAACCATTTCCTGGCCAAAGTCAGGCCAATGTTATGGTCTGAAGGTTTGTGTTTCCTCCAAATTCTATGTTGAAATCCTGACCCCCCCCCATGTGATGATATTAGGAGGTGGGGTTGCTGGGAGATGAGTAAGGTATCAGGGCTCCACCCTTCTGAATGGGATTAGTACCCTTACAAAAGAGGCTCCAAGGGGTGGCTTTGCCCCTTCCATCATGTGAGGACACAGAGAGAAGTATACCCCCTGCCACCTCCCCCGCCAGAACAAGGAAGCAAACCCTCACCAGACACCAAATCTGCCTTGACCTTGGACTTCCCAGCCTCCAGAATTGTGAGAAGTAGATTTCTGTTGTTTATAAGCTACCTAGCTTGTGGTATTTTTAACATAGCAGCCTGAAGGGATTAAAACAAGGCCCCTGCCTGTCAGCTTCTGAGCTTGCATGGTATTATTTTTCTCAGCTTCTTTTGCATGGAGGATTTCAGCTCCCAGTTCTCAAGGTGTGTCTTCCCTCTCTCTCATCCCTTACTCCCACACTAAGGGCAAGGGAACTAAAGTAAAAATTAATCAATTACCTAACGTGTAGGAACAAGTCCCTGGATTCCTGGTCGACAAAGGAAGGACCTAAGGAAGGAGAGACCCAGGTTCAAATTCCAGCTCCACCACTTACCAGCCATGTGATTTTTGGGCAAGTGACTTACCCTTTCTTGCCTCACTTCCTCATCTATAAAATAGGAATGATAATGGCACTTATTTTTTAGGGGTTACAGAAGATCAAATGCATTAAGAAACATCTTGTACAAATTAAATGACAAATATGGTAGTTAATATTATATCACTACAATTTCTTAATCTCAGGGGAGGCACTCCTGTCATTATCTCCCCTGACATAACTTGTCCCCATGCTTATACCCCTGACAAAAGCTTCTCCACCAAAGAAGAGCACAGATTTCCATACATTCATTTAGATCTGGTCACATTTACTGAAAGCAATCAACTAACAAATATAAATTTGATGATGCTATAATTTTCCAAGAAATTCCAGGTACCACACATAACAGTGAGAGGCTAGATGGAGAGAGAATATAAATCAAAATGGTGTGAAGTTTTTTGTCTTCTGTCCTTTCAGAAAATTTGCCTGCCTTGAATTGTTATCAGCTGTTTGCTCTAGGCTGCACAGAACCTGACTGCTAAGGTAGGAGATGGAAGATGTGCATTGTCATAATGAAGCACATAGGCAGTCTCAGGCAGGGGATAAGCAGAGGTTTCCTTGGGCTGAGGAGGAGGCAGGCTTGGATGCCTTCAACTAGGGTAGGTACAACCATGTGGACATGGGGCTTAGTCAGCAACAGCTAAGGTTGAATTTTATACTTGCAGCAAGATATTCTAAGCCCACCCTAAACTTATTTTTTATTTTTATTTATTTTTTTGGTACCAAGGATTGAACCCAGGGACATTTAACCACTGAGCCACATCCCCAACCCTTTTTTTATATTTCTAAATTTAGAGACAGGGCGTCACTGAGTTGCTTAGGGCCTCAATAAGTTGCTGAGGCTGGCTTTGAACTTGCAATCTTCCTGTCTCAGCCTCCCAAGCCACTGGGATTACAGGTTTGCACTACCATGCCTGACTTAAATTTAATTTTTTTTAACAAGTATGAAGTGCCTGCCAGGTGAAACTATGTATTGTGGGGATATATAAATGTGTAAGACATACATCCCATAGACAAAGAGCTTGCAATTTAGAGAAAATAAGGAACACAAAAGAATGTAATATAAGGAAGCATGTGACCTGGGCCATAAGGGAGCTTTACAGGTTGACTATCCCTTATCTGTAATGCTTGGGACTAGAAGTGTTTCAGGCTTTGGATTCTGGAATATCATTACATGTAATGATATCTTGGGGATGAGATTCAAGTATAAACATGAAATTCATTTATGTTTCATGTATATCTTATTTGCACAATATGAAAGTAATTTTATGCAATATTTTTAGTGTGCCTGCATTTTTGCTGCAGCCCTTTATATAAGATCAGGTGTGGAAATTTCCACGGGGATGTCCTGTCTGTGCTTAAAAAGTTTCGGATTTTGAAGTATTCTGATTTCAGATTAGGGATGCTCAACTTGTAGCAGGAATGAGCTAAGGCCATTGAGAAGAGGGAGACTACTTCTGCTGGGGAAGTGAGTGATGACATCAGGAGGTGGCTGTGACAGTGAAGAGACAGCAGAGCAATGGTGCTGAGATGGGAAAAAGTGGGGGCATGGAGAGAAATGCTAGGGAAAAGAAACTGGCTGCATTAGAGGTCACATACAGGCTCACAGCATCAACTAAAAGGAGTTATTCAACCATAAATCTTTTGGAACCAAATAACTGTGCTCTTGTGTGTGGTGTGGGGGAGTCCATGAAAACCCGGAATCCATAGTTATAGATGGAGCACGCTGTTTGTTAACTCAGCCTCTTGCCCCAGAATCCCTACCCTCGTAGTCTGGAGCAGCTGCCCTGTGATTCTACTTCCATCAAAATTAGATAGCTGTTTTAGGAAAGTCAATATATTTATCAAACAAACGCGTTAGATCCTGCGACAGTAGGTCAGGAGAGACAGCCCTCACTGAGGCAAACTCAGAAGAGCCTTTAAGTAGACAGTAGAGATGCTGAAGCACAAGGAGCCATGTGAACAAAGGCAGGGTGATTGAAATGTAGAACACACTTAGTCTTCAGGGATTGGGTGAGGGGGACTAAAAAGATCACTTGGGTGAAAATGGAGGCTTGAGTAGAACAGAGGTCATTAAAAGGCATGTTTTGTTTAGCCTAGTCAGTACTTAATTGTTATTTGTAACACTGAAAAACTGAGAGACTTACATAAAAATCTGGATTTTCAGCACCCTTGAAAACTAGGCCTGCATTTTGAAATGGCAGCCATCCTTTGGATAGGAGGGGCTTGTAGCTTGCCTGCAGCCTCCACTGGCTCATTTCATTCCTTTCTGCTAAACATATTTAAATGCTAATCACATTTTGTGAGCCCAGTGAAATTGAGCTCTCCAAAATGCTTTCAAACGCCATGATGGCTTGAAGCACAGGATTATTCTTTAGGGCTGAGTGTGTGTTCTCTGGGTTACTCCACATTCTCTTTTCCATGTTACTTCTAAGTTCCTACAGACATTTGATTTTGCAACTCCTGATACAAAGGGCCTCTGTGTGATGAAGATGGCAAAGTTGGTAAGGGAACATGCCAGGCCAAGGGGCTCAGACTTTATTTAAGGGCAATAAAGAAGGACCAACACAGGCAGATCTTAAGAAAATTTGTCTGGCAGAAGCCCATGGGCCAGGCTGGAGGGGAATGAAATGAATATTGACCTTGGAGACAAGCTACCTGGGCTTATATCCAGTTCAGTTACTGGCTGGTATACCAGCAGGCTGCAGAACCTTTCAGTGCCTCAGTCTTCTCATTCATAAAATGGGCTCAATAACAACAGTGCCCACCTCATAAAACTGTAAGGATTAAATGAGATAATGAGCATAAAGCACTTAGGACACTGCCTTCTATATCATAGTGTTTGATGTTTATGATCATTTTTAGAATGAATCCTGGAGACCAATTAGAAGATTGCTGTAATAGTGTAGATGTGAGCTGATAAGATTCTAGATTGGGGCAGGGGGCAAGAACAATAAGAGACCTGTATGGGAGAGTTAGGAATGAAGGAGTAACTGGGCTTAAGGATGACTGGGTTGGCAGAAAGATGGTCAAACCTAACTTCTGGATTTCCAGCCTGCCTAACTGGGACAATGATCGTATTGAAATGGAAAACTCTGAAAAAAAAAAAAAAAAGAAATGGAAAACTCTGGGAGGAAAGTTTTTGGGGACAGAGAGGTCAGTTTGATACATGTTAAATTAGAGATGATGGTGGTGACATGATGGCTAAATGCTAATGTCTGGCACAGTGTGAGAACTATGGTATTGGGGCTCAGGAGGGAGGTCAGGCTGAAGATAGAGACTGGAGCATGAGAAGCAACCATGTCCAATCCAGCAAGGGCAGCTCAAGGTGGAAACCACCTCACCTAGATATGGAAGCTCTATTTGAGCAGGCTGGGGCCTCTGTTTATTCACTGACCATGTGTGTTCTGCTCAGTCAGCTGTGCCACTCGGATACTACCTTTGTCCTTCATCTTATGTGCTTTTAGTTCAAATGCTGACCTGGCCCAATGCTGCTTACCTTGTGAGCTGTGGTGATGGGGTCAAAGTCCACTGGGGTATAAAGCAACAGGCTGACACTTGGTTTTATGTTTGATGAAATGGAGACACCTAATACCGGCAACAGGGGAGGGTACTGAGCAGAGTTGTGCGTGGACCACGCTTGGGCCTGCTGCCTCCTTCCTGATTCTCTCAGAAGGCCTATTAGGCTCTAAGGTTCCTGCTTTCTCAGCTGCTTCCTGGAGGTTCAGGACAGTGTTTCTCCACCTGTCTACTTCTTCATATGCACCTGTCCCCAGAACCATATTCTGGTGACTCCCTGGTCCTTTTTAGGAGCCCATAGATTAATTACATAAATTAATCTTTGACAGTATTTCCCCCTCCATACTTGTTTTCTCAATACACTAAGTGCTGCCAGTCTCTTCTGGCCCACATCTGGGCCAGCTGTGGGAGATACAGACAAAAGGGATGTACCTTGAAGAGCTTGGACTATAATGTACAGAAATTTGGAGAAGGGGATTTCAGGCAGGGTGGTACACTAGGTGGAGGCATCTCAATTCATTTGTGCACAGGGTTGACCCACCCCCTCCCATCAAAAACATTCTATCAAAACATGCACATGCATAATTTATTTACCTCTCCATTCTCTAGCATGCCAGACAGGAGCCAAGGTAAGAAAAAGGGGAAAAAAAGGAAAAAAAAATGAGTGTAAGCATGGTGAAGGAAGGGCTCAGGTGGTTAAACAAGACTTCTGATTACTGTCATTAATGTTCAAAAGAGTTCCAACCTGATGTGGCATTAAATGGGTAGATTGTGTGTATATGTGTGTATCTGGATAAAAGCATATTAGGAGAATGAGACATTCAGACAAAGGGGCTAGTCATCGTGGGGGATGAGAAAAATTCCCTGTCCAGTTGCTGGTCCACCAGACACCTGCTACTGATTTGCTTGGTGCCAGGCAGTGCAATGGGGAAGGCCACTGGAATGCAAATGTTACCATTAACATGGTTTCAGGTCACAGCAGCCTGGTTGTCCTGCAAAGGTCACTTATTACAAATTCTGCTGGCAAACACTGCCTGCTCCAGTGAGGCAGATAGTTCTTAAAGTTCTCTCTTCTTGGTGAATTTGGATTTTGTGGTTTGTCTGTTGTCATTATGAGGATAAGGATAATAATTGGACAGAGATCCCTGAGATACTGGCTCTAGTACCCTCAGATGGTGCTCAGATAATTTCCATTTACTGCAGCGACACCTAATGGCCAGAGAAAGTAATGCCATGTTTGCATTTAAAAGCAGCCTGTGATTTTATTTGGGGTGTTAATTTTTTAAAATATAGTATGGACAAGGTATTATTGTATTTATTAACTCATGAAAAGTAACAGTTTGAGGGGCTTGGGCTGTAGCTCGGTAATAAAGTGCCTGCTTTGCATGTGTGA